AAATAATGAGTGTTCGATGATATGAATGAATGAATGATTATATTAATATTTAGTATTATACAGAATTTATATATAAATATATTATTACTATTAACTTATGAAAATTTAAATAATATGAATACTTATATTATTTTTATAATTGAACAAATTATTAAAACTAAATTATAAAAATGATTTAAGACGGAATTAGTATATATCTTTTTTTTAAACTGGGACGGAATTGGTATGAAAAAAGGTTCTTGGGACGGAACTAAGATACAACCCGAAATATGATTAGTATTAAAATTTCGTCTGATGAGGATGACGTAATTTTGCTTTGGTGGTGGGCACGTCAAAAAAAATTTCAAAAAAACATCGTATTGGGTACATTCGATAACATTTATCGAATATATGTTCTAGTACCTACTAATGATGTCGCGAATGAAGTACACAGTGATCCAGATTAATTTAAAACATTTTACAGCATAGGTAAAAATAATGTTGATAATTTAGTACATATAGTTGGGTCCAAAATATTCAAAAAGATACAAATTTCAGAATTGCAGTACCAGTAGCAGAAAGGATTTTAATTACATTGCGGTAAATACATATATAATTAGTAATTTTTTATTTGAAAAGTAATTTCTATGTTATAATTTAATTTTAATTTTAATTTCTAAATTGTAATTTAATTATTAAAAAAAAAAATATGTAACAAGTATTTAAGAGTATTTAAGTAGATTTTTTTAGTTYTATAWACATGTGTATAAATGATACTGTATAATATAACTTTCAGGCATCAGGCATGTAGTAATACTTGGTTCATCGTGTAGGTACTCGAAATATCCACGTTTGAGTTTGAAATGTCCAGTCATACGCATAKAAAAATTCAATAACACAGGATCAAGAAATTTTAATTATAAAGTTTTTTTTTCAATACAACTTCTTGTCTATGCAGACATAAACAGCAAAGATGAAATTGATATTCCCCAGMATTTAACAAAACACCAACAAGCAGTTCATAATTTATCTACACTCTACAGCAAGTTCTGTGCGAGAATATATGTGAAGTTTTTTTTTAAGACCAACAGTTTCATTACCGTGGCAGTGGAAATACGCAGTTGAACAAAACATTTAGCATATATTATAATAATAAACACATTTTAATTATATTCAGAAGCGTATTGTTATGTTTCTTTTATTATCAACGTACTATTGTAAATAATATACCTAAATAATAACAAGATACCTATCTGATGTTCCTAAACTTATTTTAGTTTTACATTTAAAAAAAWTCGTTTTTTACATATTATAATATTAACAATACATAATAGTTATTTATTTTAACTGATCTGTATTATTTATTTCTTTAGCAATACTTTTCCAGGCTAGTTGGATTGACTTATAWTTGCTATATTCGTTTAAATTGAAATTATACAAACATGGATGTTTTTCTACTGCTTCAACTAATAGTGTTAGTGTATTAATGACAGGATCACTTTTTGTCAGTATTTTTAATTATTATAACTACAGAATATTTTGAATAAGAAATATACGAATAATATGTAAATAAGTATTATAAAGTATAATTTGATAAATTTTTATTTTTATTGATTAGTTCTACTATCTACTTGCTTTATTTTAGTACCTACGTGAAAAAATTCAAAAAAATATCGTTTTTTAAACTAATACTACTATACTAGTATTTTAAATATGTATAATTTTGTATTGAATATTAATTTATACGTTAATAAATCAAATTATATGATTGAACATAATTCATTCAGTAAAAACTAAAAACGTGCATGACTATATGTGAAAATGTTCATGAAACTAAAACAATGAAATCAGAATGACAAATTTCATGTTATCAATTTCGTAAACGATAAATAATAATAGTTGCATGAAACTCTGTGAGTGTTTGAGTGTTTCCCTATACAAATATATCGGCTAGTTTCATGCAATTATAGTTTCGTGTTTCATGTTACAAGTTTCGATTTTATAATTACTCTAGTGTGCAGCCCACCTTAGATATAAAATACATAATATTTATATATTTATACTGTATAGTGTATACTATTTAGATAATATATTATTAGGTCTCATATTTCACTGTAGCACTGATGGCCACTGCAACGGATTGTTAGAAAACATATGTAATAATATATTATAACATTTTTTTATGAAATACCTATCAACAATTATATAGCTGATAGTTGTAATCTAACAGACGTTCCGGTAGGAAGACGTGTCATGTCAGTATATCATCGGTGAACAGTGAAACGCACTGGTTACCAGGCCCATTTCRCCTGACTTGTTGCAGGGACGGGTGGTTGGACGTGTCGGACAGGCTATCGCTCGTCAATGGCCACTGGTTAAGAACCTGTCGAGTTGTGGATGTCCTCACGCCCGACTTGTCGATGCACATGCTTGACTGTCCAGGCACGACTGYCATATCATTATAATCAAGTGAGCCAACTACGTTGYACATGTCGTTCAGTCTGTCATCGGTATCGTGTGGCCCGTTGGCAGTGCCATGCTGCATGTCATCGTGGTCATGTGGCTTGTCGGAAATGGCACAACATTGACCATTAAGATCATCGTCGGTATAGTTCATCATATCAGCAGTGCTGCACCGATGGCCATTGTTTAGACCATCGTCAGTGTGGTGTGGCCTGTCAGCAGAAGTGCACCTACTGCCATTTTGATTATTACCTCGTGACGGTAGCCGCACGTCACCAGCCCGACCGATCCGAGGAATCCGAGCCGTCACCGGTCCTGGACGAACGGGCACGGGCAGCCGGGAACCGACGTACAGATCCACCGGCCTGTCCTGTCTTGCGAGTGGTTTGGGCCGGCTCGAACTGGGAACCGCAGATTTTCTTGATGGCGTCGWCCAGTCAGACTTCATAACACCCAAATTTCGGAACACCAAACTCCGTGATGACAATCGGCCGTCATTCTGAGCCTCCGAAATCGGTGAACGTCCGCTGCTGTTCCGGCACGACTGATAGTTGTTCAGGGCGGCGGTGTTACAGTTGTCAGTTCCGACGATGCAGTTATCGTTTCCAGTGCCAAAACGCGCCTCATAATTACACCGACCACTGCCGTGCAGACAACACGACAGTTGCGATGTGGTCGGTCGTAGACAGGCTGACTGCTGACTTGTCAGTTTTGTCTTACTTATTTTTGGTTGAGCCGAGTACGGCGTTGTGTTTGGTTGATGCTGGCTGCAAGGCTCTGAAAATGTGCCGTATATATCATGCTTTTGAGACTATATAGAAGAGTAACTGATAATAATATAAATTACTTGTATTGCAAACATCAACGAAATCTGTCAGTATTGGAGGCGTATTCGTGGCAGGGCCTTCATGATAGTTTTCAGTTGCATGTTTCTCAGCAATACCAGAGACATCAGCGTTGAAGTGCGGATCGATGATGACTCGTACACGTCCAACGTAAATTGTGCAGCTTGACTCATGTATGGCTCGATTATCCGATTCCGGTCGATTTTTCATTTCATCAATTGACATTTTTAAAACGAGTTACACAATAATAACATAGTTTATTTAGTTAGTAGGTTAGTAGCTATAATATTTCTTAGTGTATATTACTTATCTATACTTGGCATAAATTATAAATTAATAGTTTAACAATTTTGAATTAAAATGTTTGGCTTGTTGTGAGGAAATAATCCACATATAATGTTTGATACAATATATTTAGCCAACGCATATATAACAGGCCTAGTCTACTTGTGTTACGAGTATAGTACAATATTGACATCAGGAGCGGCTCTATGCGCATAGCAACTGATCTATAGGGAGTCATACCAACACTCACTCCAAATAATAACCAAAAATGTAAATATTTTTAACACTTATTTCTCGTTGTGAATATTAAATTCTCGATTATTCGATTAGATTCTTAACAATTTAGCTATAAAAACATTTTATGGTGTTATATGAGTTATGTACTATACCTAATATGGTATATAGCAGATGTGGCCAACTTGCGGTTCTCGTCGTAGTCATATGCAGTTGGTGTTTTATTTAAAAAAAAAATGTTGGGTCCGGAGTGGCGCAATGTAGTCGCAGGTGATTGTGACTCACACAGCGATCGGTTTTATTCATAGTAAAGTGCGAAAAATTGCGTGGTTTTATCCAATTTACACCAATTTATCGTACTGTCGTCCCATTGCGTCATCCGGGTTTCAAGTAGGTCCCACTCCAATGGRAGTGAAGACCACACATGTCTCCTCTAGAAGAAGGGAGTAGTATCATGTATATAATAATTGATAATTAGATCGCATGATCTGTCTACTACCCATTTGGAATACGCATTGACAAAACCCTAAAGGTCATTTCAATGAACAAATACAGAGAAACATATTGTATGGTGTTATTTAAGTTATGTACCATATTATTATGGTACATAGTAAGAGTARCCAACTTGTGGCTCATCATAGTGGTATGCAGCTCACAGCTCATGTTTTATTAAAAAACAAAAAAACAATATCTACTTATTAACGATAAAATAATAAAAATTATAAAATGTATTTATATACACTTTGGCTCTYTATACCATTGTATTTATTCATGTAACTAGTGTATRTATCCTTGTTGGTCACCCCAGGTATATAGCATAACAACATAACGACGAAAATCTACCAATGAGTATTCTAAAAATACTTGTTAACGAAATATTACTGGCCATTAGTGTATTTAACCAGGTCGAATGTATGAAAATAATTTTAACTTAAAGTATGTATCTTATACTTATTGTTATAACCTTATAACATAATGTTATCGGCTACTATAATGGCTTATCATACAAAATTGAATTTTAGCCATGGTATTCACTAAATGCAGTTTGGCCGCAGTTCCTGTAGCCTCCCAGACCCCGGTTATTAATTACATTTTATTTCAAAGTATCAGAGCTTTCGATACAACTTTACTCCTCCCCCCCCTACCAGAAAAATTTACCTAGTTGCACCTACAAAAAAGCCCCCTTTTAATTAAGTGATAGCTAAAACCACAACCCCTCCCTAGTAAGTTTTTTAAGCTATGCTGGAATATATGTTGTACATATTATAACTTTTTTCGTATTCAATAATATTATTATGATTTTTTAATTAAAAAAGGTAATTAAATAACATTGCGCAATTGAACTACAGATTTACAGAACTATTTAGAKTATCATTAATTGCATCATGCTCACATTATTTTCTAGTCCGACGAAACACATAATTTACTATATATGGATATTACGATCCCTCTCGTAGTAAGACGAACATTAGTATAGAAATAGATCCGGGGTTGGATTCTGAAGGAATTTCTTAAAAAAATATATTCTAGGTAACCAGTAGAAAAAAACGTAGTTTAAAGTAATAGAGTAGGAATACACTTTTTATTGAACACTTAATAGTAAGTATTTAATGTTCTATATGACGCATTTTTCTAATTAACTTTTTGTTTTTGTAAATATAATTTTAGAACTTAGTCTCTGGAGCGGGTGACAAGACCCTTGGACTCTTTTGGCACTACTATCCATATTGGCACCTATATCAATGGCATGTTTAGTAATTGTTCAAGGAACGGGTTCAAACAATGTTCCAAACCACAGTACAATGGGTTCATTAGCACAACTCAGTGTGACTGGAGGGGATTAGCCTTCTCCCCCCCCCCAAAAAAAAAAAAAATTATATAATTGTTTCCTAAAATATCAATAAACCTTTTATAATTAAATAATTTGATTTGTATTTAAAATTATGATCAATTTATATTGCATAGGATTGATATGGAACGATTATATTATTATAGCTGTTTGCCTTTCAGCTATGAGGGGTTGGGGGGGG